GTGCAGTAAGGCGTATCAGTGTACCGTGCAGTAAGGCGTATCAGTGTATCGTGCAGTAAGCCGCTGTCAGTCCAAGTTGAGTTTCACTAGTTAATACTGTAATAAAATGTGGTCTTTGATGAATAGAATACCACAAGTTTGATAAAAATTAGGTAATCGATCCGAACTGAGCCAAATTGTATGCAAAATTTCTGGGTTATTTCATGTTAAACGATGCCTGTTAATTTGCTGGCATACATTGTTATTAGATCAATTTGCTTTGAGATTTTCATCGTAGGGCTGAACGAATAAATTACAAATGTAGCTTGAAATTCACTATTATATTCTGAATGGCAATGCTTAAATTCAATATTATATTCACTATTATATTCTGCATAACCCTAAACAATGTGAATTTTATATTCATATAATCATATACAGTCAGAGATCCTGATGGCGATTAATGATATAGAGAAGTCTACCCTCTATAAACGAGGTGCTCTCCAATTTCAGATTATAGAAAACGAAAATTTTGATGTTAAACAATCTAAATGTGAATTCGAAGATGTGGATTGAATGTTTATCGACTATGCAGTTTCAACTAATTAAAAACAGTCAAAACTTGCATATATCTTGAGAATCTTTTAAATACAATTGAATGAAATTAGTTGGACCTCACAGTGCTCCATAGCACTTGCAGCTCATTGATGTTCAAAGATTTTGAAATTCTACTTGAATAGATTCAGGTAGGCATATCGCATTATTTCATACAAGAAGTGTACGTGATTTCTGATTGTGTAATCGAGTGACATGTGCTGTTTCCACAAGCAAGGCAAGACAGAATTTCACGGTCTAGGAAACCTGGATTTGTTTGACAACAAGCACATCTCAGAAGCCGCAGCTCTGTTAAGCTGGCAGATGGAGTTGCAAGAAAGCCAACGATCTTTGTTTCCAAACATTGCATGAGGTTTACTGAGAAGCGAAATGGGTTAATTTCACGAGGCGACTTCAAATGAGGGTTGAAAATGCTCACACTTGGGTCATAATTTTATAGGGAAAATCGCTCTAGACGAACAGTAAACCTTGTTGGTCAAGCCGTGGACGTCGCACTTGAAAAGAGCCACAGTTCGTCTGGAGTCGTGGTCAGCACAGCAAGCGGTGAACACTTTTCTTGATGAGAGGTGTGTTGGTAACTCACTTAGAATAGTATAGAAGTGTAGGCGTTGAAGAAATAGGCCCATGGCCTGTTGCCGATTCTTTAACTTTTCGTGACTTGATTCACAAGGGATCTGGCCTTTGGAACCCGATCTTTCCATAGCTGACGATTGATTGAGATAGCTGCTGGACACTTCACTTGATCACTCCTCAGTTGGTACTTGGTTTTAATGCTTCTAAAGTTCACTTCAGTCTTGCGACAGATATTATTCTAATCGACATCACTACAACAAGAAATTCGGATTTTGTCAAGAATTTATTTTTTGAACCCCGTCAGTTGGTTGTTGGTCTAAAATTCACTTCAGCATTGCGACAGATATTATTCTAAAAGAAGCTGCCGCGTCTGTAAATTTTTACTGGGTGCAGTTTCCTGATGCTTATTGTTGGTCAGACGTGCAGAACTCGTCGACGCAGGCAGTGTTCCGGCGTCTCATCAACACCGTCGTGTCCAGGGACTCGGAGGAGCTGTCGGCGCGACTGCGGCAACTGCTCAAGGAGCGTCTCGAGCCTCAACAACTCAAGGCGAGTCATTGTTATAGTATTGGTTTAAATAACAATAATAATAATAATAGCGGTTTCAGCGTTTGGTAGGCCGTAGGCCTGTCGCCGATTCTTAACAACGCAGAACATTCACAGCATTTTGCGATCTCGAACTCGCAACACACTGCTACAATTCCGCTGTGCTTAACCGCCCGGCCTCCTCGCCGATTCTGACCAGAAACTGGCGCACAGAGCTGGGATCGAACCCGCGCCTCTCTGCGCCAATCTTGGTACTCTGAACTTTAACCACTGGGCCACCATCTTGGCTTTTATCTAACTCTACAATCGAATATGTCCTTACCGTTGTACTTCATTGCCGTTGTATCTCTGCTGTTGTATCACTTTGCTGTTGTACTATTCTAATGTTGTAACTCTTCACTTATGTACATCTTTATTGTTTTATTTCTTTGCTGTCAGAGCTCTTTGTCGTTGTATATCTACTCTGTTGTATATTTTTGTTGTTATGCCTGTTTAATGTTATTTCTCTTTGCTAAATTACATTTTTACTGTTTTGCATCTGTGTTGTTGTAGCTCCTTGTTTTTGTATCTCTTGCTGTTGTATCCCTTTGTTATTGCATCTACATGCTTTCGTATCTCTTTACTGTTATATATATTAACTGTTGTATCATATGGAGTTCTGTTAACAAATTTGTAGGTACGTAGCAAAGTTTTGAGCGAGGCGTTCTGCAACATTCAAGTAACTAAACATAACACAAGTTAAGACAAAATAGTCAGAACTTTTTCTAATTACGTAAGAAAAAATTGTCAACTGCACTTTCAAATAACAGAAGGGCTGGAAAAAATTATTTTCGTATTGATATGAATACTGATATGGGGCGATGCATTAGACATTTTATTGTTCTTAGGTACGTATGCGTATGACTGGATAATTTTTTACAGAAATAATTTTATGTAACATGTGCTCTACTAATTTGAACTGATTGTTATTATATTGTCAAAAATCTCAGGAGGCTGTGGTGAACATCTTGGCGAACGTCATAGAAAAGCTGCGAGTGTCCAAGTCCGAGTTAGAGAAAGAAGCGGAAGCCGCTAAGAGCAAGAATGATACCGAAGTCTTCGCTCTTCTTCAGGAAGAGGAGCTGGCCGTAGCACGCATGCTTCGCCAGACCGTCATGGCCGAGCGACTTGCTGGGGCTCTAGAAGCTCATGTTCTTGCCAACATGACGGAGAAAATCAAGCCTTTACTGGCCGGTATACTCGAAGGTGACGGAGGAGAACAAGGGGCTCTCACTGTACTCGAACTAGGGAAGGTCTCCTTAATAGAAGGCCTAGGAGGGAAACAGAGCGTAAGTGGCATGACTCCTGAGGTAGGAGAGACGACAGGGCAACAGGACTTCCCGATTGTGGAGGAAAAAACAGAAGTAGAAACTTCAACCGAGGAAAAAAATATCAGCCAAATTAGTGAATAAAAAGTATACACATGATCAGATGGGAATAAACAGTGATCAAGAGCTTAATAAACGCAAAAAAATTATTTCGTCCAAATGAATGCGATTTTTCCTTGGGTCTTCGATGGTAATCTTGATAACGATCCGCACGCTTTAAGAAAGATTTATTTTATTTGCACTGCTTGCTTCTATATCAAAGAATAATTTTGCTATTTATTGCAAATTTATTTACAATGTTTACGCAATAACAATGATACGTTAATAAAATTATATCAAATTTTAAATTGAACGTTTTTTAGCAATGAAAACATTGAACGCCTTATTAGCATTGAACCTTATTGATTGTAAAAATATTCAACGGTTGTTAGCGACCATGGAGCTACTGTATTGGAAAATTATTTTAATCCTGAATAACGTCCATTCTTTCTTCAGATTACAAATAAATTTTGCGTGCCTACAGTTCTGATTGTTTTTATTGCATTAATCCATTGTTCTTTACGTAACCTTTACAGATTTAAGAATATCGGTAGTTGTCAATCTCTGGAGACTGTATAGGATTTTGCTATGACTGCATAGGAGTTTTTGCCATGTCATCTATTAAAATTTAGAAGGAAAAAGTCTTTGCTCTGTTATGTTAATTATGGATATGCATCTGAAGCATGTATCAATGATTTTCCCTATCAAAACTTACACCAGTGATTTTATAAGCAAAAAAACTTAGCCAGTGTTGCAACAGTTTTCTCGAGTTAATTGACCATGCCTGTACTAGGAGAACTATGGTAATAATAACTGTAAGTCTAGTAATCAAGGGAACCAAGGAATTACCCAATGGGAAAAGTTTAGGCACAGCTCAAAGCATTATTTTGAAGTAATACTTGAATCTATTGCCGAAATTCTATTCCACTGTTCCAATTTCAACCTACAAAAAATATGCCTCAACATGTTTGTAGTTACATGATCTCAAAGATTATCGTCTCACTTGTAACACATCTAATGATCAGTAAACATCATTGTTTAATCATCACAGCATCTGCGTNACGTCTACGTTCTGTTGGTGGTGCAAAACTTTATTACAAGACATGATAAATGATATCAGTAAGTTACGCAAATACCTCTTTTTTCAAATTTCTCCTTTACCAAACAAATAAATTTTTTAATCGTTTTAAAATTGAAAATATAGCATTTTTATCAGAAAATGTTATATAATCCAACCAAGTTTCTGAAGTCTTATTTCATTTTAAGAGTACTACAAATTTATTAAGAGTACGAACTTATAAACAAGTTCGCCGAGTTATCGCCAATCAAACGTTGGAAGCGAATCATAGCTGCGTTCCTGCGTTAAAAGCATCGCGTTAACATCTACAGTATTTTTTTATTTGTGAAACAAATGGTTCGAAAAGCTTGGCTGTACGTTGATTAATCGAACATATTTGTGCGTTGGCCGAGAGCGAGATTGAGTGAGTCACAAGCGTTAGCGACTCCAAATAAATGAAGATGTAGACTCGGAAAGTCACGGCAACTTCGCTGCAGTAACGACTGCTTCGTATGGTCGTCTGAATGGTTCAGTTATAATTTATTGTCGCATTAAATCAACAATGATGGTTGAGTAACATTGAAATGCACGTAATAAGATCTTTAGAAAAGTTCTCATGGTTCTTCTGTTGACGCATATTAGCTGGGTATACCCTGCATGACATTGAAATGTGATGAGTCAGTCAATCTAACTGCTACAATATTTGGACCATTCATCGAAAGAAGATTTGAATACAGATTGAATTTCTATCCAGAATTAGTTGGTAATTGGTTTGTTGTGACTTGACTAGGCTTAAATTTTTGAGCTTGTATTACTAATTTATCATTGATAAAAAATTACTATTGATTAAAAACTTTTACGAGGTAAAAGTTAACGGCACAGAGAACCACATATAAGAGAGCTGTAGATTACAGCTGCGTTGCTTGCATGAAATCAGAGATTATTTAAAGTCCTGGACTGAAAACTGAACACGCAACGGAGAAATACTTGCTAGTTGTAACATGAAAACATGATGCCAAAAGAACGGGTAACCTTTACTTAATATAATTCAATCGAATTACCTGGAAACATTATAATTCCGGAGGATTTGATTCTCTTATTTGAACTTTAACTTACAAGTGTGAAAAAGCACGAAAAAAAACAGTTCTAATAAAATCTTTCGCATACACATCATCATTAGATGGCACATTACGAGCCAAATGTTACTTGAGATTCGCGACTTACTTTTACATTAAATTAAATAATGTTTAGCCATCGTCATGAATTTTCTTTCCTTCTTCGAGTTCTTTTAGCAAAATATTGACCTATGCTTTTGAACGTGGCTCATTGCTCTTTAAAGGCTCAGTGTCAGAACAAATTCTTTTGCAGCGCAATAATTTGCAGGGTCCATCAGCGGTAAGGCACAAATGGTTCCACTGCGTCAGCCGTCTCCGCGAAGGAAGACAAAGAACATTCCTCCTTACTTGTGCTCAGCTTTCTAGAACCTTTTGCCGCTTTTATGATTTGTTTTTATTTCAATTGGAAACCTCAAAAATATTCACCTGATTTATAGAAAAAAATTGGACAGAAATGAGTCCATTTTATTTTCTCCGGATCTTCAGAATGACAACTAAATTAAGCGGTAAAAAATTATTTAAAATATCTTTATAGATAAGCATCTTCCGATCACATATGTCATCATTTTAATCAGTTTTGTTTGAAATTTTGGAATTTAGGCAGCCTACTTGTGGAAGACTGCTACCTCACTTCACTTACCCCATTGTAGGTGGAGCGGCTTTCTTGTGTAGCGGGATGCCCGCCGAACAAGGATAATAAATTTCCCATCGTGTTCTTGGAACCAATACTCCATTCCGTTTTGCTTTGCTTGCCATCTTCCCGCTCCGATTTCTCCAACCCGGCTTGCTCGGGCCGATCTCCAAGAGCTTCTCGGTCAATGAGAACATTCAACAATCGCTTAAGCAAAAAAGGACGATCCAAAATTATGCTTTCAGTAAATTGATTGGGTGTAGCGAAATCGAGCTGTTCGCTGCTCATTCCATTTTCATCGTTTCTCATGGACTCTTCCTGGAGTAGTTTATTTTTCCCATCAGGTGATCGCAGATTACGTGCGAGTTGACCTGGCGAGAAACCGAATTTAGCATCATCGTCCTGATAGATTTCTTCAGCGCTGGACCTCTGGATGGCATTCAACGATGTCCCGTCAGTTTCAGCAGGCAGTCCGACTCGTGCCAAGTTCTTTAAAGTAAACGGCAGTTGGTATGGTCGCTTAACAGTGTAGCCGTTCGGTATTAAGTCGTATACCGGATTTTGCTTAAGCTTCATAGATGGTCGTTGGAATGAATGAGCAACAGTTACTGGTCGCACCTTCAGCATTGTAATTGGTCGAATAGGTTGTGATTGACTCGTGCGCACAATAGGCTTGGAATAAGGCGGTTGACCCAGGGAATCGAGATACTCTACGAAGCGAGTGGCCCAATCTTCTTCGCTGGATGCACTGCGTTTACCATGAGCTGAAAATTGAAGAAAAAATAACGTATTATATATTGATGGACTGGTTGGTGCCACGTATGAGTTCAAGTAATTATATTCTATTGACACATTATACCTAATATATAGTAGTATTGCTTGGAGCCTCGAGTCACTATTCACCGCTAAGGTTTATGCTGGTTGTTTCTCGTGACAGACAAATGGAAGTTTATCATTATGTGACTGGTGGTTAATGATGGCAAATTTTGTATATTTTTTGTATTTGTATTCCCTGAATTGATGTCTGCAATAAAAAGCCTAATTAATGACAAGCACAGTAGTGACGCACTCACCTCCCAGGCATGAATGTCCGTAGTGAAGGCAGCCCACTGAACATAGCAGGTATTTAATTGTTATTAATTAAATAATTATAATTGTTGGAATTTGTTAGAGAGTAATAATAGCCATTTTAGTTTGAGAAAAAACAAACATTACTTCATATTTCATATACAGATATTGAACACATAACATCGAAAAATCAACCTGTTGCCCTTTTAAGATGAAGCTTGAAAATTGACTGACTAATTTTTAACAAATATAATTGTCGCAAATGATGAATGTCAACAAAATTTGTGTCCCGTACTAGAATCCGTTCAATTAAAACCAGTTTCCAATAAGCAAACCCCAATTGGACTTCAAATAAAGAACCCCATTGAGCTCATCCCCACCCTAACAAAATTTAGAGTCGCCCCAGCTTCTGGTAAGCCAAATCAGAAACTGCCGCGACTGTAAATTTTCACTGGGTAACAAAATTTAGAGTCGCCCCAGCTTCTGGTAAGCCAAATCAGAAGCTGCCGCGTCTGTAAATTTTCACTGGTGCAGAGGCCATCACGAGACCTGCGTCCCAGCGACGCGTGTTACTGACTTGCGCGGTGCGGCGTACGTGGTTGCTTGCGTGGGAACGCTGCGCCGCCTGAGAGACGCGGCATGCGGGACAAATTAAATGAATTAGTAAGAGGTGTTCAATTATGAGGGATTTATGTCTGTTTGAATTAATAAAAAATGCTCGCTGCAAATAAAATTCAATTACGAGGGATTTATGTCTGTTTGAATTAATAAAAAATGCTCGATGAAAATAAAAGTGATTCGTAAATTAATCACAGTTGATACGAGCCAAAATATCGGTAATAAAAAATGTTCATGGGTTGATGATGTGTTTATGAAAGTTATTGTTATTGACGGACTAATACGAGTTGTTCATGGATCAATATGAACAACTTCTGGATTTGTAAATGTCATACATAGACGGTATGACTAAATATATAGGACGTATATTTAGTCATATAGGTATATTTAGTAACTAGGTATGACTACCTATACCTATACTACCTATACCTATACGTCCTATAGTCATACCTATAGGACGTATAGGTATGACTAAATAATTTTTTAGTAAATTCCATAAACGGCTAAGTTATCATCAATATTTAGTAGTTAGCCTTCTAACTTATTTCCGAACACGAAAAATGCAATTGATAATTTAAATTTTGCGGATATAATTTTGAATTTAAACGCAATAAGTATCCTTATGATTAAGAAATTTACTATGGTGAGTAATTCAGAAGCATCATAATGACCGCGAAAAGCACCATTGCACATCATTATCCATCATCACAATTACTGTTGAAATGAAAACCGTTATTACAATAGTTGACCCTATTGCATAGTTCCTTGATATTATGTAAATAAATTTACAAACAAAATTCAAATATGGTTCTCCCTAACTGAACATACCGCAGGTAAAGTTGGGAATCAATGGCAAATAATCACCACCAATTATTTATAACATGAAATAAAATGGCAAGTAATAACTCAGTCTTGTATTATATCTTATTTGTCAATAATCTGGACCTTCGTAAACATCGAAGAGTATAAAATTAATAAGAGCAAATAAATCAGGATTTTCATAGATAAACTGCGAAATTATTTCTGTTCAACATAGTAGCTGTTATTTCAACGTTCAAGTTCTTCATCTTTACGATTAAAAAATAAATTACAAAAATGTACTTACTATTCAAGGTTAATAAGAAAAGAAAATACAAACGATGACCGGACATGTGACAAAGAGTGACCATGAATTTTTTTCCAAATGTGTCTCAGTAATAGATCGTTATCGTATAAATACTACAATATGTATATACATCCTTCACAATCTGACAGTCAAAGCTTACGTTAGTTTATAAATGCATTTTAAATAGCACTTGTACAGCCATCTTGCAATAATTCGGCCAGAAAACTTAACGATAATTTTTTAATCAGAAAGAATGACGTATCACGTAGACAATAATATGAATGTTTTGAAATATAAATTTCGGTCGTAGAAACTAAAGCTTATTGTCGTCAATTCACCGTCATAGTGTCGTGGTTTGTTAAGAACAATTGCGGACGTTTAGAAGAGAATGTTTACTGGCTTCTGTCTTATGAAATTACTTAAATAAATCATTTTTATGAAGAGAAATCCTGGTGCTAATTCATCGCTTGCAACGCCCCGGTGCAGACAAGAAGATTGCCAGCCTATCTACCAAGATTGCGATAGTGTCTGCAATCCACCTGCTAAGATTGCGGCAGTGTCTGCAATCATCATTGAGGGAGCATAGATGCGTATCGCTTCTACTAGCAGTTTACCAGAATTTCATCTTCTTCCCGCTACATTCCTATACTTTCTTTTTCAAGAAAATTCACCCCACCAGATTTTTCTTCAAACAAGTGAATTTATAAATGCTAATACGCAAAATGTTTTTATGTCAGAGGCAGCTATTTTTATTTAAGATGAACGGCTCTCCATAATAGTTTTTATTCGGTTTGGTGCAAAATCTTACTCAAAGTTGTCATTTTCATTGGGCGTAGTTCAACAAATTCATGGCTGAAAATTTTCATCTTATAATTCAAACGGGTTTGTTTAGAAAAGTTTTATTCCAAAATCGAAAGTTGATTTTATTAGACAAAAATTTATCTTAAAACTTCAACAAAATTGAAATCCCTGACATGAAACATTTCGAGCAATTTCAACGCTTTGTTGGCAACAAATTTTATTTGTGCAATCAGAAATCTTTTTCAGGGACCAAAACTAGACGATATAAGCTCCAGATGGGAGCAATAATGGGGAACGCGGCGTCTGAGCTTAACATCGTCGCAACATGCGAGCTAAGATGGAGATCTGGGGCCATAGTCTTCAAACTCGCTAAGTGAACGTAAGTACTTACGCTCTATTTTCTTGTCTATGATTGGTGGATTTTGATTGAAAGGCCGTCAATGATTGGCTGATGAACAAGGCATGTTGGTGAGTGGGAGTGAGGTATGTCGGTGAGTGGGAGTGAGGTATGTCGGTGAGTGGGAGTGAGGTATGTCGGTGAGTGGGAGTGAGGTATGTCGGTGTGTGGGAGTGAGGTATGTCGGTGAGTGGGAGTGAGGTATGTAGGCGAATGAGAGTAATTTATGTCGGTAGGTAAAAGTAAATTATATCAGTGCGTGTGTTTTAAATCTGTGAGTGAAAGGAAGGTAGAATTTTTCGTATTGCTGTTTATTGAAGGCGCATAAGTGCGAAGTTTTGACATACTACCATTAAGGCTTTAATTAAAATTCGAAGTTTAACTTTCACTGTCGTCTGCAGGTCTGTTCCCCCTATGCAGTTCAGGTGAGAGCCTGTTTCAAGGAGAGTTCCATTGACGTCATTTGCCATCTTATTTGAATAAGAAGGAATGATGCATATCAATGGCTTATGATAGAACAGCCGTTAATGAGACATTAATCGCCACTTTGCAGATACTGCTCGTCATTAAAAACCGTATAATGCTGGTCAAAACTACGATTTGTAATGTTCGACAACCACATGATGACTTAGAAGCTGTTTTGCTCATCCATGAAGGATGTGGTTCAGTATTATTTATACGTAAAATAGATCTTTTCTATTGATGGCCGGAGTCTTATGGACGTAGATGAATCTCTTCCATTGAAATATCCATTAGGAGTAGATTATCAAATTATCCACTTCCCAATTCATTAGCAATTATTTTATTATATGGTTCAAGTTAATGAGCGACAATTTTATTTAAATTTTAGTTTCCAGTTCCACTGGATGAGGGAAGCAAATATATATACGATATATATACGGCAGTGCAATGGAATATTTCTGGACCATTGGGAAATTCGGTAAAATATAGCACACGAGAAATTGCTCGTTTTAACTACAGTATATCGCCTCAAAGCAATGTTAGTATCTCACATTTCTGTCTGAGAACTTTGACCGATTTTCTCAAATGTTTTAATATATTTCCCGTGAATGAAATTTCGCTGCTGATGTAATGTCCAATTGAGAATAATGCATTTGCAAAATGAAAATATATTTCCCATACATTCCCTCCTAATTTTTATTAACGAAAAGTTGTTATGTTGTCTTCACGGACGTTTTATCTTGGGCTACACACGCGCGTCTGATAACGATGAAGCCCGGATCAAGATTCGTCATATCCGGAGAACAGGATCGTCAAAATTGAGGGGATGGATCATCGTCCTTCATCGGAGTTATAGGAAATTGCCTTAGTTATTGGTTTATAATGACTCTTAGTTATTGGTTTATAATGACTCTTAGTTATTGGTTTATAATGACTCATTATAAACCCTTAGTTATTGGTTTATAATGACCCATCATATTCCCTTCGTTCTTGGTTTATAATGACCCATTATAAGCCCTTAGTTATTGGTTTATAATGACCCATTATATTCCCTTAGTTATTGGTTTATAATGACCCATTATAAACCCTTAGTTATTGGTTTATGATGACTCGACTGGGGAAGGCAATTTATAATTCATTATAATTTCGTTTACTAAACGCTGTGCTAGTTTTCTACTTTGAAGAATTATTTATAAATATGGTCAAAATATTGATCGATGCAAGGCAATTCTTTGAAGTTAAATAAACGTTTCAACATATAAAATAAGCCAACTATAAGATAATATTATTATGTTATAGTTGGCTGGATCAAGGAAGGAGTGAGAGGCTCAGAACTGTGGTGCAACTGTAGAGTAAATTTAATGTTAGATTTTTATCCGTAGACTTTACTCATGCAAACTCTGTTCTCACAACTTTCTTTGACGTGCTCAACAAATAATATAGTTTAATTAATATTGTATAGAAGGTTAAAATGTAGCGTTAAAAAGTCACAAGTTAAATTTACGACCATAATTAAACAACTAAGTGTTGTGAGTGGCTTCAATGTGCGTATGTTTTTTTCGTTAAAATTCCAGAATGTGCAGACAGTTTTTGGCATTACATCTATACGACGAGGCGAATAATAAAAATAGTCACAAATTAACGAATAAATTGTTCCGTAAAATTTATGAAATTTGCGAGCTTAAAAATTCCTCGTAATTTAAGACGCCTGTAAAACCTTGCACAAAATAAACGCGGTATTCTCCTGAGCAGAACTTGGTATGCCTAACTAAGAACTAAGACAAGAGATGCCTGAAGAAAAGATGGCATATGGATGAGAAGATGCCGGCGAGGTGTCAGCTGAAACTAAAGAGGCTTTTAGCCCGTGTCCGGTAACTGTAAGAGATGTTGACGATATACTTGCTTCTTATTTAACAGAAAGTAGTGCGCCTGAAGTTCGGGGCTTGAAAACTTAAATTTAGAGTTGCAAATACTTTTTAGTGAATAGTCTGTAGAAAAATTACACAGCAATAGCTTCGAGTCTTGAACAACTTATAATGTAATACGTGTTCGAAATTTTATTTCAGATGAACCTTGTGATCAATTCTTGTGAGCTTACCAGTTGATAATTGGAAAAGTAACGTACAAAATAATTCAATGGTTTCAATCGCTTTTAATGTGAAGTAAACTATGCTTCTGCACGCATATTCTCATAGGATGTTTACGCTCTTTTCAATCAAACTCAATAGAAATGAAGGACGTCTCAATTCTAAAAGCAA